ATATATAGACACCGATGTCCCATCTGCATGAAAAGGTTAAGAAGCAACTGTTTCTCTCTGTATTAAAAAATCTGTTTTGTATCAGAAAGGTTTTCTAAACATTTCAATCAGAAAAAAAGTTTTCAATTTCAGATAATCTTTTTTATTTTATTCACTGTACTTTTAAAAATATATCTGCTTGTAAAAACTATTTGAAGTGATTTCTTTTTTTAAAGCTTTAAATTCTGCTATTATTTTTATTTTAAAAAATTAGAGAAAAAATCCTTATTTTTACTTAAAAATATAAATATTTCTCTGTGTAAACTTCCTAACCATTGACAATAATAAGTAAACAGCTCTTTTCAACAATTTTTACATATATTTAGAAATTATTCTTTAAAAATATGTATAAACCTCAAGGATACTGTTGCTCTTATAAATAAGTCTAAAAGGGAGAAAAAATCCCTTTAATTTAAAAGGGCACATACGTAAAAAAAAAATGAAAATAAATAAATAAAAATGAAAAAGAATGAAAGGAATTTGTTAACACCAATAATTTCTGGCATTGTTTGAAATTTGCGTTCAATTCAATTCTATGCGGACTACATTCTGTAACTCAACAATATTCCGTTTGATAATTTATTAAGTTTATAAATTTTTAGAATGAAACAAAGTAAAACTTGCAATTTTCAACTTGTATTTGAAAACAGATTTTGTGCATTCCTGGTTATTTTGTAAATTTCGAATACAGTTTTGAGTCCTTTTTACAGTTCAATTTATTTTTAAAGCAGTTAAATTGACATTTCATTTATTATTTTTAAATTTAAAATCTCTATTTGTTACATAAGCTAGAAGTTGTTTATTTTTTTATTTTTGTTCTTATTGTGGCATTCAATGTAATACATTCATCATTCGAGCAAAAGAATCAGTGTAAATGATTTTCCTAACTTCCCAACATAATAAAAAAAAATATATATATACATTTATTTATACAGTTTTAAGTAATAAGAAAGTACAACAGAATTCCCTCAAAATAAAAATCTCTTTTCAAAGGGAACATTACATGTGTTCTGTTTCTACAAAAGCACGGGAAAGCAGAAAGAGTCGGAATTTCTGGGAATCATCTTTTCACGAATAAGACAGGGCCTATTTTACGTGACCATCGGGCACCAGCCTTTCTTTGCCCCAAAGCATAGTGGGGGAGAGACTTCCCTCCCTTTTCAAAATGAACCGTCAAAGGGAAGGGTCAAGCCCATAAATAGTATAAGGACAGTGACCTTTTTGCAATAATTAGGTTTAGTTATTTTATCTTACTGGTTTAATTATCTTATTTCTTAAAATATCTTTTATTTCATTTTATTTATATCTTATCTTATAAATAGTGTTTTATTTATAAGGATATAAATTTTTTTTTTTCACAATGAAATAAAATATAGATCCTTACGAAGTAATTAAAAAAAATTTTCCACTATATGCAAGGCAATGCACAAAATGAAATTTATTATTTTTGTCTCTAAATTTGCATTCTCTAATTAAAAGTCTTAAAACTCTCATATTATTTTGAATAAAAATCCTTTTTAATTAAAATAATGTAAAATTTCTAAAAAAAAAGAAAGTTGTAAATAATCTCTCAGAAATTTACACTTACAACCAAACTTTGGAGCATGTATAAAGGCTAGAGTTTCACATTCTAAGGAAGCAAAAATTCAAATGTTTTTACATTCCAATAATCAGGAATTATTTAGCAGCTACTGTTAAAAAAAAAAAAAAAAAAAAAAAAAAATATATGTTTATAGAATGTAAAGCATATGAAGAAAATTTGATAACCCTGAGAAAAAATTGAAATAAGAAAGAACATATAATACATCAATTAAAATGCTAAAACTTTTCCCTCAACGAAATTATCATATTTTAAAATAGAATAAGATAACCATGTTTTTCCTTTGAGCCGGACTTATTTATTTCATACTTTTTTCATTATTTTGTTTTAATTTAGGACAAAATAAGGGATCATTATAATATCGTGCCTTTTAATAATATTTGGTTGTAAAAAACAGCATAAAACACCAGTAGCTTTTTCTGTCTTAAAGGAAAAATCTTCCAAACATGGCTCATCTTCCAAACAATAATTTTTCAATTTTGTACTGAATTAAAGTCATTATATCTAAGATAAACAGATAACCATCGTAGAAATTTTTTTACTTTACAAAATTAATTATCCATAAATTTTTGAATATGAATAAAAAAAATGACAGGTTACTTTTTTTGGATTTTATATTTTTAACCAAATATAAATCCGATAAACTAACTGACTTTTTTTAGTAACTATTAAACTGGTTTTTATACTTAAAAAACACCAAAATATATTTTTGATCGTAATTAAAGCGTTAAAAATAATAATACATAAGAGACGCCGATGTCCCATCTGCATCAAAGGGTTAAGAAACAATTATTTCTTAACCCATTGATGCAGATGGAAACAATTATTTCAAAGGGTTAAAAAATCTGCCTTGCATCGGAAAGGTTCTGGGTTCGAATACCGGACAAGCCACGGATGTTTTTTTCATTTTCTGTGCTATCTGTCCTTACTGTGGGAGCAACATTGACTTACCTAATATGGTGCAACTGAGAGAGTGGCCAACAAATCTACCTTAATACGCCTGAATTGACGAATGACAACACATTGGGAAAAAAAAAATTATGAAAATCTCAATCAACGCTTCTGTTTTGGATGTTCAACGTTTCGTTACTCTACGTTTTGCTCTCAAAAACTATACGACTTAGAAGCGTGAAAGTTGAGCGATTTTTGTAGTAAACGATAAGGTTGAATTGAATAATCTATGGGTTTTTAAAAGAAAGTTCATTTGAAATACGCTTGCGAGAATGACGTAAATTTTTTGTTTCATAATTTTTGACTTATAATTGTGTATGAGAAAGGGGTAGGTAGTTTTGCTAACTGCAAGTTTATTATTCACAAAAAAAAAAAAAAAAAAAAAAAAAAAAAAAAAAAAAAAAAAAAAAAAAAAAAATAGATAACAAAAGAAGTTAATAAACAAATCAACTCCATTATACCAAATGATACAGAATAGGCCAGTTCTTCAATCAGTGTTTGTGGTAGCCCGACGACCTGCACGCGAAGTCGAGCACTTTACGGTAGAACAGTTTAACGAGGACCAATACCGCACACCCTCGGTCCCTACGCAGGCTGATCCAAGTGGTCACCCACCCGCATACTGACCGCAGCCAGTGATGCTTGACTTCGGTGATCTGCTGGGAACCGTGTCTTAACGATCAGTCCACTGCGGGACTAATAAAAATGAAGTCAAAAGTACAGTGGGATTCGTGAATTAATATTTTTCAAAGAATAAAACAAGAAAGCTATCGAAATAAGATTACTCAACCCTAGGATCGGTGAGACTGAAAACATCAAAACCTGTTTGTTGACAGATGAAATTAAAGAGAAGCTGAACTGCGATTATTAGAAACGCTTTTAAGTTTTATCAGGTAGGAGAGAGTCGGGTAGCCCCCATCCCTTAAGGAGTATTGCTTATATTTCTGTATAATACTGAGTAATAATCAACATTTTTCATC